CTCAAATGAGACTATGTGCTTGTAACTTTTACGTGTGGCACAAAACATCAGCACCAGCACATTTCAAAATAAAAGTGTTATCTTACCCGTACTGTAATCATTCAATTTTGGATCGGGAATTCACAGTCCACACAGATCAACAAAATTTTGTAAGGTCCAATATGCAAGAATTCTGTGTAAAAGGTTTCCTGCTCACCTGTTTTATTGCCAGCAAATGCTGATCAGTGAGTCCATTCACTCCCAACTGGAATCCAAATCAGAATTCAGCCAATTCCTGAAGGTCACGGCACCAAGTTGTTATACCCCAGTTCTTTTACTGGACAGATTTGAGTAAAAAAGGAGTCCGTCTTTCTTGATTTTAGTGCTGATCTATTTACATATATATATGTGTGTGTGTGTGTGTGTGTGTGTGTGTGAGAAAAGGATTACAGAACACAACCCAGGGCCCCCTCCTTCAGACAAGCTGCTGGAGAAGAGAGCAGGGAAAAAAGCACCCGGAAACACAGAGCCTAATACATTTATCAGTTTTGGGCTAACCCCTTACACAGATGTCCGTCACACAGACTCCATCTCTTATCTAGAGCTCCACATTCTTGGAGCAGCTGTGTATTACCTCAATGTGTGTGTATGTTGTATGCATGATGTGTAACTAAACATTCATTCAGACATAATTCTTACACAAGATTAATACAAGAAAACAATCGGTGTCATGGCTTACTGCTAACCTTGAAACAGAGCAGACTTTGAATCTTACTAAACTGCATTACTAACACATATTAAAGTCTAACACATTAAAGTCTAACAATTATCTGACTAATTCATTAATTTCTAACACACTCATTAATCCTTTCAGTTTAAAATCTTTCTATAATGTGATCATGATATGTGCAGCGATGATGAAGCTAAAAGCCTGTCCTCTTTCAGACAATTGTGCGTGGGAGCATGATCGGTCACGGGGACTACATCGCAGCCATGATCAATGATATGAGCCGTCTGTCTGTGACCAGTTCCAATTCTTTGAGGAAGAGCAGTCCTTCAGCCAGAAAGAGGGCGCGGTCTCTGGGAAGGCTAGGTGAAGTAAATGAGGGAGACACTTACCAGTATGAAGGCCTGACCCAGGATGAGGAAGATGACGAGGATATGGGTCAGGACCAGTGGAGAGACAAAGCCAGGAACATCCACAGTGAGTCTAACACCCCATACTTGGGAATGAAGAAAAATATCACTCTGCAACCCAATGGCATCTTGCCAAAGGCCAAGTCCACCTATGAAGTCAGCATCAACACCTTGCAGGGACCACCACAACAGGCTCAGCCCCAGAACATCCCGGTGCCGAGTCACAGGGCTTATATGAGTGGTGAGATGGGCAGCCCTCAGGAGAGAGTGATATGGACAAGAGATTTCCAGCTGCCTAGAGGAAGGCCACCAAATCAGAGACCTCTTGCTTGCTTCTACAGCCCTGCTATGGCTGTGCAGCAGTCTCATGAAGACCTAGGGACAGTCACCACAGAGCTCCATCCCAACATCCCAATGTACATGCACCCACAGAACAGTCCTGGGAGGCCGTTCTCCTCCTATGACCTGAAAGTAAGCCTGACATTGCAGCAGTTTCTTTGCACACTTTTGCAGCCATTAAATCCACTGATAAGACATTATTCACAGAGTGCACAAAATATAAATTTTGTGGCATGTACATCCTATTATTAGTATTTGGCATGTATTTACATGATCTCCAGATCCATTAAATAATTTTTTGTCATCAGAAACATTTTCATGCTTAGCCTTAAACAAGACAGCATATTGATTAGCTTTAGACTAAAGGTGGTTAAGATGGGATTGCATATTTTATTCAGTTTTGGCAGATTCATAATCCTATAAAATATGAAATGTGGGTTTAAAGTTTAATATGAGGTTGTAAAACCTGAGAAATGGTGTGTTTAGCAAAATTGCTGCAGGACATGGGGGTTTATGTAACACCATTTTTGCATGGGCCATATCAGGTGAAGTGGATGCAGAGTAAGAGTGAAGGACTTGATTTACATTCCATTTCAAAGGTCTTGAACCTTGGACATTGTTTCTAACAGTTTTTCCCTTACTGTGCAGGCAGACTCAGCAGTGAGGTACCACTCCAGCTTCCTGCCCACTGGCACCAGCAGTCCTCTCATGGGTGGCATCAGACTCCAGCGGGTGGTGCGGTCCTCAGCTAGCTACACCCTGGGCCTGTCTCCTAACATGGGATTGAGGCCCACTGGTCCAGACCCCTACATCAGACATTCTGGATGCCCCAACCCTCCTTATCCCAGGCAGGACAGCCCTTCCCAGCCCAGACCCTCACCTACAGGCTCACTTGCTACCAGTCTAACTGGCACCTGTTCCCCTGCATTTAGACCACTACAACACCCTTCTACCAGGCCACTCCCAGACCCACCTAAAGTGACTCATGAACAGTTCAAGGCAGCCCTGCAAATGGTGGTAGACAAGGGTGATCCAAGGTCTTACCTCGAGAACTTTGTAAAGATTGGGGAGGGCTCGACAGGGGTGGTGTGTATTGCTACAGAGAAGCACAGTGGTAGGCAGGTAGCAGTGAAAATGATGGACCTGCGGCGGCAGCAGAGGAGGGAGCTGCTCTTCAATGAGGTACATTATGGCACTACAGTAGAGACAAAGTGATTCCCACTAATAAACACAACTCACCAAGCAGTGAATGCAACTAATTTAAGGATTCGTGCTTGCTATTCCATGTATCCATCATTTAACCCTTACTTATGGGGTACTCCAATAATTTTACATAAGAAAATCAGTTCATTAGTCAGTTCTCATAATTTGGAGTACCGCTCAACCTGTGAAAACAATGTTCTCTGTGGCTTTGAAGGACACTTTCTAAAGTCTAAAAACAAATCTCTGATGATGCCATTAGGGTTAACTTGGATTTTTTAAAATCTGTGTTGTAAACTGGGGGCATGGACTTTGAAACAGTGGGTGCTTACCAATCAGGGACGTCTAATGAAAGATGCTATCAAGTTGGGTTTTTGGAGCTTGAATTATGCTAAAAATCAGGATATCCCTGCCCCTTCTGAACTGAGATGTGACTATTGTTTGGGACATTCAGTATTTCATTACAAAAAGTAAAGAATGGCAGAAAGAGAGGGATGGGGATACAACAAAGGTCCCAGACCCAATTCGAGGATGCTGCAGGCCATAGTCTCTGAGCTACAGGGGCAGTCCTAGAGCACTGATTTTGACCATTCCTGTTTAATCTGTCTCTCACAACTTTATGAACTTTATGACTTTATGAACATGCTAAACTAAGTTGCTGGAATCCCTCTTTAATGTTGGAGAACCAGAATCTGGCCATATTATTGATTATATCTCTAAAGACATGGTTTTAATGTGAATGTTTCATGTTGCAGGTAGTAATCATGAGGGACTACCAACACAGAAATGTGGTAGAGATGTTTAAGTCTGCCCTGGTGGAGGAGGAGCTCTGGGTAATCATGGAGTACCTGCAGGGTGGAGCACTAACCAACATTGTTTCTGTAACCAGGTACGAGTAACACAAGATAAAATGTTGTTTGTCCCTCTGTAGAAAGCTAAATTGATGCATTTGGTTATGATATCATCTTTAATAAAGTAACACAAGATAAAATGTTGTTTGTCCTTTTGTAGAAAGCTAAATTGATGCATTTCCTGGTTATGATATCATCTTTAATAAGTGAATCATCCACAAGGGGGTAGTGTGGTATTGACTGGTGAGTGATCAGTGTTGGTCAACAAAGAGACCAACATTCAGCCTTCACTTACACTCATAGTCTTTCGCCTATCTCAAGGCATAAATAATAATTTGATAACATAACAGAATCTGTGCATGTTTGGACAGCATGTGAAAAGTCTATATTGGGCTAAAATTTGATTTTCTGATGCTGCTCAGAAATGCATAAATCACAAATAAGGAAAAAATCAACCAGCAGGAAGGAGCTGAAAGTTGTTGCAGGGTATTTGTTTTGAACTGTCAGTATATTTTATATTATTAACAAATGGCTGACTCAGTCCCCACCCCCTGACCTCAGGGTTAGACACACTTGATTCAGATGGATGAAAAAATGTCTCTCAAGCCAGATGACATAGAATGAGCCAGCTGTCACAGTCACCACGTCAGAGACTAAGATAATCAATATATTGACAGAGCAATCAAGACTCCTTTCTTCCACTTTTTCCTCGCTACAGTACTCAATAACATTTTAAATTATGAAACAGAATATCTGCCTGTAATGCATAGAGTTTTTGTAATATAGTTTGACATATGATGGTGGTCATGTGTGGGAGAGAATACATTAGGTCATTGTTACTTTGTGGTGCTTTGCTTTTCAGTGGGTATGTGGCCTTACTTGCAGCTGTTTGTCTTGTGACTCTTACATCTTTATGTTGTGTTTCTGTTGTTTGGGATTTATTGTTTTGAACCCTGCACTCAATAGCATTGCCTTTAATATGCAGTGATTCATGAATTTCAATTGTCTCAGCTGTTGATTTGCTGTAACCTGTAATGGAAAAGTGTGAAATGTAATGTAAAATATGTTTGTCTGTGTGTGTAAACTTGTGAGTGTTGTCCTGCAGGCTGAGTGAAGAGCAGATTGCCACAGTGTGTGAAGCTGTTTTGCAAGCCCTGGCCTATCTCCATTCACAGGGAGTCATCCACAGAGACATTAAGAGCGACTCTATACTACTCACATTAGATGGAAGGGTATGCTATGTTATTTCTTCTTTCTTAGTTTCTTAGTTTTTTTTTCTTCAACTGTGATTCTTATATTGGTGTGCTTCTTCCATAGGTCAAGCTTTCCGACTTTGGCTTCTGTGCTCAGATTAGTAAGGACATCCCTAAGAGGAAGTCTTTAGTGGGGACACCCTATTGGATGGCTCCTGAGGTCATCTCCAAATCACCATATGGCACTGAGGTGAGGAAGCGTACACTCAGGTCCACTTGAACTGAATAACAGTGGTGATCCCACTTACAGTATGTAGCACAATAGTGGCAATCCATGTTGTAAGACCTGTGTGATGGTTCCCCAGGTGGATGTTTGGTCAATGGGTATCATGGTGGTGGAGATGGTGGATGGAGAGCCCCCGTACTTCAGTGAAACCCCTGTCGCCGCTATGAAGAGGCTGAGGGATGAGCCAGCTCCAACTGTACGAAATGTGAACCAGGTATGAGAAAGGACATACTCACATCCTCACTTGTAGATGAAAAATGGTGCTGACATTTTTGCCACTTTCAGCATGAATTATTATTACTTTGGGGATCCTTTGAGTACTTCTCCAGTACCATCATCAGGTCAAACTTTTAATTTCATTGTGGAGTTCATTTGTTTGTTTATTACTGTCAAGTCCTTTCATCACAGAGGGTTGACAGGCTGTAAGCATTTTTTTTATCCCAAAATATACCAGGAGTATTACCACTACACAAAACAACACAATATAAAAGAAGTAAATATCAATTGCTATAGGGTAAACTCCACAGGAACTAACAGAATATTGAACAGACATACAATCACCCAGGATTTTGCTGAAGGTGAAAGTATAAAAAGAGCTCACACTTGAACCTAATCCTATTGTATTTATTGTATAAGTTCCTTATCAGGCTTCTCCTCTAGATTTGCTTGTCACAACAGTTTATGAGCAAAGGTTTAGTGCTAAATAACTTTAGCTTCCTAACATACTAAACAAAGACTGTAACCATGGTAACCATTATACTTTATCATGACAAAACATCATCAATAAACTCTTCTCATACAGCTCTCACATTTCCATTATTAGCATATCAGCATGTTGATGTTTGCATTTAGCTCAAACCACCTCAGAGCCGCTAGTATGGCTATAGATACTTTTTAAATAATGAATTATTTTGAATTGTAATACCTTGGTATACTATATATTGTAAAACAAATGCCATCTGTACAGATGTAGCCTATTGTCACTTCTAGTTTCCCAAGTAAGATTTTTGTCTTATCAACTCCACTGCTTCTTATTACAAATACAATGAAAAGTGAATGTGCCAGTAAAAGCTTCCAGCTGTCTTGTTTGTGGTCTCTTCACAATAATTATACAAATGTGTACAAATAATTACTGCAATGATTTACTGACCATGTGTCCATTGCTCTCTGATCCAGATCTCCCCAGTTCTAAAAGACTTTCTGGACCGCATGCTGACTCGGGACCCCCTAGAACGGGCCAGCGCCACTGACTTGCTGGAGCACTCCTTCCTGCTGCAGAGCAGCTCACCTCAGTGCCTGGTGCCACTGGTGGAGCAGTACCGCAAGCGCATGTCCCGCTGCTGATCCCTATAGGGCCCCAACACCCACCTTCAGTCTGACCTCTCCATGCCTTTGATGAGGGCCAGCATCGAGGTCCAGCTCCTCTAATACCAAAGCCAACAGGCAGCTGGCTCCAGAGAAGCAGACCTGCACAGCTCAGTGCTGCCAGTGTGGTGGTGGCAGGATGGCTGACAGATACTGCATGATCTATGGCATGAGAGAAGCACTTTAGGAGTGATTAAAGGCAGCATGAAATTCCTCCCTTCCCAACTTGGTTGGATTCAGAAACTGGTTGGCTTCCTGTACCAGTGAGTGGGAGTCATGACAGCAAAATAATTATTCCATGCACCTATTTGTAATGAACACATGCTACTCTAAAGATATAGTGTTCATAGTGGGCATTACTGTAGCCTTGTACACCTTATTATAAAGCTGGTGTAAGGCTCAAACCACAGTAGCTCATTGTGACATTACCTCTGCACACTTTCTTTCTCTGCTGTGGAAGCCAGACATCAACCAGCACAGTCAGTGCACTCCACAAACACTGACACTAGACTCTTTGCATGGCCAAATGGAGGCACACCTGGCCTAATGTTAATGCTTGAATATGAACCAAACTGGAATGTAAAAGACAATTCTCCTTAGCATAACAAATGGGTAGATGAAAGCCCAGCTGCTACTATTGGGCTATTGGAAAAACTCCAGTATATTTCTCGTTTTCATATTTATTCTGTAGTTCAAAAGGTGTTGTGGGTTGTTTGTTTGATGTGAATTTGCAAATAAGGTTTTATTATTACATATGGACTTAAAATAGATAAATTATTAATGTAAATAAAAATACTGAATATTAGGTCTCTATACCTGCTGAGTGGCTGCAGTAAATTATTTGAAATTAATTCAAACATTTTACTTTTCTTTTCTGAAATATGAGCGTATAGTTATGTGTGCGTGTGTGTGCATCTGAGCACATGGGTGTGTGTGGGGTGACCTCTCAGTGTTTGCTCCCTGATATTTTATATAGTGACAGACTTTTTAAAAACCACATGGTGTGTGTGTGTGTGTGTGTGTGTGTGTTGCCCCTGAAAAGGTTGTGAATGATTATATTTGCATTTGTTTGCCTAGATAAAGCACACAGGCCCGGCATGCGATGCTGCTGAACGTCCACCTGTTGAGAAACACTTTGCACAAAGTCTTTGTATTCTGACAGGAATACATGTTGACATGTTGTCTGTGGGGATCATTCATGAAAAAGAGAATTACACATTTTAATTTTGTATAAATCAATAAATGATGTGTATTGAATTCATTTAATCCTGGATTTTCCTCACGCACACACACATCCATAAATACAAGTTGAATATACTGGTGTCTAAAGTATTTATTAGGTATTCAGCATGAGTCATACAGTACACAGTCACTGAATATCCTGAAGCAAAATACATACATTATTTCTTGTAAACACAGAAGCAATATCAAATACATATAATCTCATACAATATGACATATGTGACACAAAAATAATTTCACAGACTGACATGTTCATTTATAAATTATTTCAGATAAAGAATTGCTCATTTGTTTGCAGGGGTATGCAGCTTAATAAGCTTTAAACGTTGTATTAATACACACTGAAAAAACAAATAAGCTGTGACCTCAGCAAATGATTAATATTTGTCTCAGTATATAGAATATATCACCTAACAGTTAAACTGCATTGTCAGAATTTTAGGTGATGTAAAAGTTCCACTACCAGCCGTTTCTCTTGCTCAACACTGTCCTTATTCTACTCAAGCGTGGCCTGAGATGAGTAACTTTCAAACTCACACTTCACTCCACTGATGCTGTCAACACTCGGCTGGCTGTTGACCTGCTGATGTGTGTGAGAGAGGGGGAACGTTTCGGAGCGGGATATTCGCCCTTTGCCATTTGATGAGCCCGATGAACAGTCTATCACCATCCTCATGAACTCTGGCGCGGTGAATCGACGCAGCAGTCTGGTCCCCAGGCCCACAAATCCCGGCGTACGATTTGAGATCTTCCCTGACTCTATCTCCCCTCTGGCAAAGAGCAGTTTGTTGTGTCTGCTGACTGGACCAAAGCTCTCCCTCTTCTGCTCCTCTCTCCTGCTTGATGGTGCTGAGTCATTAGCCTCTTCCCTCTGTGATTTGACATTCTCCTTGTGCGTTCTCAAGGGTTGACTCTTGCCGTTTAAAAGAGACTGTGGCACTGAGAAAGTTTTGTCAGCATCGTTTGTCAGGCCACATTTGTTCCCTTGACATTCCATCTTGTCTATCAGGCATCTCTCATCTTGTAGCGAGGGTCTCTTTAATTTGCTGGCTGACAGGCTCATGTCACGCATATCACCCTGATAAGACTGCTTTCTGGTGCTCTGATCGTCCAGGTTAAATGACTTTGCTTTTCCCCAATGAGGAAAACTCTCTGGTGTTTGCTCTGTAAGTCCAGTGTCTCGGCTGACATTTTTCTGGCTCGGCTCGGGCAGAGAATTCAGTGTTTTAGTCCCTCTTAGCTCTCTAAGCTGGCAGTTTTGTAGTTGTTTAGAAGTGAAGAGAATGCTGTGATCCCCCTCAGTCTGGCTTTTTTCCAGTTGTGGAGGCAGAGCCCAGCTGTGGCAGTGGCTGTCCTCCTGAGACTGGCTCCTGGGATATCGGAAGTGGTGCCCGCTGCTGTCTCCAATCCTCAGCTGTCTCTGAAATACCCTGGGCAGTTGGTCTTCATTATTCACCTGCTTGGAGAACCTCTCCAGGACATGTTTGGGGAGTCTGTTGGGCAGCTGGTAATCTCCTTCCCTGATGGTACCTGCATCAGCAAGTGGCTCATCTGTGCCAGCACCCCTCCGGCAAGGAAAGTTCAGAACCTGGACGCAATGGTTGTGTCCAAAGAAGTTGGCCACCTCGATGGCCGAGTGACCTGCATTATTTGTTTTATCTAACCTCAGTCCCAGTCTTTTGAAAGCCCGGATCAGGAACTCCAGAATCTGGCTGTGCCCAGAAAAGGCAGCATACATGAGAGCGCTGTTACCCCAGGCATCACAGATATCCGGGTCTGCATTGAACTGCACTAGAAGCTTGACAACATCCAGGTGGCCCATCTCACAGGCATAGCTCAGGCCTGTGCGACCATCCTCATCCTGACAGTTGACATCTGCCCCTTTCTCCAGCAGCAGCTGGGTGAACTTGGCCCTGGTCCCATTGTCTTGCAAGCAGACGGCGTACATGAGCGGGGTGCGGCTGTTTTCTGTCTTTGAGTTGATAATGCGTCCATCCAAGGCATCCAGAATGAAGCGCGCAAGGTGAACTTTACCACCGTGCATAGCATCTAGGAAGGTCTTGGTGCCAGATCCCTGGCGTAAATCTTTTGGTCGCATCATTCTTGAATGGCTACTTGTTGCGCCAAACCTTCAAGCGAGCCAAGAAAGAAGTTGATGAACAGAGAAAGAGCCTGTAGCAAGTTTTTAGAGAGTGTCGGTGTTGAAAATGAGTGCATTCACCTCTGAGTAAGACTGAGAGTGGAGCTGCCAGTGTTTTTATACCTCCCTTTCCACATGCCCTCCCCACGTTGCCTTGGAAACAAATGTCTGAGGACCATTATGCAGTGGCAGCATCCATTCAGCCCAAGCACTCTCTGCCTGAAGAGAAATATGTTATTTGAATAAAATAATTACTTAAGGAGAAAAACCATGGCCAGTGTTTTATATGTGAGGTCTGTGAGGTTTAACTGAAATGCAACATTTTTAGTATACTTTGACCCAAATTATAACAAATGTCTGCTGCTCATAAAATGTTCAAATATAAAAAAGGCAATCCAGCATGTTGTGAAATCTATGAATAGTGCTTTGTGTTAAAATGTGTTTACATTCAACAGTATATTGATATCAGGACCCCTACCACAAGTTTGAGAAAAGATTAAAGTCAGGATTTAAGAGCTAATTTCAAAAGGGAACATTTTTCTTTTTTCTACCCAATGGTGCATCCATCCATGTGATGTTTCTGCTTGTAGTTTGCCTCATCCACAGTGCCTCAAACCCAACTCATGCTGCTTGATTTTACCTTTACTTTCTCAAGGTTTCATAATAAATCCTGAAGGCCTTTTCTTGTCATGGAAAATAGTAGTGAACTCAAGGAAAGGGCAGTGAAAGACTTGTGTTATTACAGTTTATTATTATTACTGTTGTTGTATTTGCTAAATTTAAAACAGTAATGTCAAACATACCACATTTAAACATTTTTCTCTTGCATGTCTTGTCAAGCCTTGTGTATAAAAAGCAACAAAGAGCCTTTTACAGAGCTGTTTCTCCTCCACAAAACCAGAATTTAATTTTAATTGCTAATATAAATCTCAGCAGGATCAAAACTGTTGAAACATTGCTTGGGTTTCACCCTCCTCGCCATTCACCATCCGGCTTCATCAAACCCTCAGCGGGTCCTTTCTACAGCACCGAGAGTCATTCACTCAGCTAAACAAGGAGGAAATTAATCAGCAGACAGACACTTCGTCCCAGGTGTCTTTCTGTTCTGGTCACAGTGGCATATTTTTTCATGATAAAATCATATCAACCCCACATTTTTTACTGTAAATAGCAAATTTGTTATGACAATTGTTCAGACTTAAGTTCTTGCCCTGCGATGGATTGGCGACCTGTCCGGGGTGTACCCAGCCTTCGCCCGATTGCCGGCCGGGATTAGCTCCAACCCCCGCCCCAGGACTAAGCAGTAGAAACTGAATGAATGAATGAAAGTTCTTATAAGACCAGAGATGCCTTTATAAATTTGGTTTGACAGTGCTTTGCACATGCTGTTTCCTCAGGATTTAACCCCAGCTATCAAATCATATATAGTATGTGTTATAAAAAGGGAAAAAAATAACCCAGTCTAAAAACTAAAATGATAAATGCCAAATCCTGATAGAAGCAATTCTGACCTCAAGGCATTCCATGAATCATTATGCCAGGTGCAAGTAATCAGCATGACTCGCTGTGAGAAAAGGACCGGAGTGTCTAACAAATTTCATGATAATCCAGTAGTTGTCGAGGTATTTCACCCAAAACCACAAATTGTATCAAGTATACTATACTGTATTTGTGCTGCACACCTCATATTCCTCTCCATCCTGTACACCTGTTGAAATCTGGAGTAAAAGTGGTCAAGAGTAAACTGGATTCACTGTCATATTCTTGGTCTGATCTTGCAGTGATGATCATATGGTGTATTGTACTGCTGATACACTTGGAAAAATAAACTCCAGCACTAAACAGAGGAAAATGGACTCGAGTCTCCTACGCAAATTTGTTTTAATCCATTTTTCCATCTGTGCCACTACAGTATAATGATAAAACCATTTAAAAAAAAACTCATCTTAGTGCTGTTACTTGGAGTGTAAATATGTAAGAAAATAGAAGCAACATTTGGGACAAAACAGATTAAACACACATCGAGTGCTGCAGAGCTCACACGCTTGTGCTCACCATGAGGCTTCTTATCAGGTGTCCCACTTTGAATGCTCTTAGACTTTGGCTGCTTTTTCACAGAACAGTTTGTCCAGAAATAGATTTGAGCTGCCTGGGCTGCATCCATTTTCCCAGGCAGGCTGAGAGCTGTGTTCGAGTTATTGTGTTGGCCACTGTATGTGGGGTGACATTTTCTGCTAGGACAGTAAGTTAGTAGAGTCAGTCCACTTCTGAAATACTTGCCCTGTCTGTAGCCGTTTCTATGCGATACAACTTATTTAATTTAGCACCATGATAAACAATTTTATGATAAAATCTCTTCTTTCTATAACTGCTTTGAATACGAGATAGACTAAAATGTCTGAGCCTTCACTGCACAGCACATTTAGGCAACTTTCACTATTTCTGTATATGTTATTAGTCTGAGTCATTGCTCACAGCAATGATTGCATATTTTCAAAAGCCTACAGAAGTCAGTCAGTATTGACATTCAACCACTCTACAGTCCATTCACTAAATGTCAAAATGGACTGAGCAGAAATGAATGAAATGTGGATGAAATATTCAAAATGTGAATGAGCTGCTACCACGTGGTGTGTTAATTGGACAGATGTATGCAATAAAGCAGAGATGTCATGGTAAATACCTGATCTGCCATTCATTGCGGGCCGGGCCCAGGCAGGAGCCACCTGAATGCCTGATTAGGAATTAAAGCTTGTGTCAAGTTAAGTCTGTAGACTTAGTCTTAGTCACTAGGGAGAAAAATCAAACAAATCTCTCAAGGTTCTTCAAAAAAACTTGTAAATGGAAACAAAACACTGTGCTCAACTTAGCTAGTAACACCTGGGAATAAATTAGCGTGTGAGCACAGGATAATAAATGGAGTTCATTCGAGAGCAAATTTAAAAGGGCCTAACTAAAAATGTTTTCTTACCAGTGATTCAATATGCCTTCATCCTCCACGGACTACTTCATCTTCCTGCTAATTGAGCACACCTGAGAAAGATGCAGTTAAGGCAATATCACCTGCCATGTCCTAGGAAAAACAATGGAACAACTTGTGATGTTTAGTTTCCATCCCCTCCACAAATGTGTTATGAGAAAAATAATGGCAGCCAAGGGGTTATGTTTAGTCCGGGTGAGGGAGAACTGGGGTTGGACTCAAGATGGCTGACCCGGGTGCTAGTACAAAAAAGGAGGTTTAATAGAATAAAAACAAAGTGACAACATAACAAGGTCCATAATACATACAAGGGAAGGGCAGTGATGACTACGGAGATCAGGACGAACAGGTAAACACACAAACTAACGACAGGAACTAGAATAGCAGAGGATGAGAACGGACAGGTGAACAGAAAGAACCAACGTAAACAATGCAATCCACAGCACAGAGACTGTCAGCGTGGAAGACAAAGCACGTATTTCTGTATTGCTAACCGCATAATTAGCGTGATAATGTCAAGCCAAAACGCACAGAGACTGTCAGCAAGGTGGGGCGTTGACCCCGCAAAAAGGGAGAGCAGGAGAGGAAATAAAGAAAGAGAGGCAGGTCGGGCCGAGCGGACCTGACACAAGGCACAGAAAACCAAATCAAGTTGTGTCTTACTATCTTCCTAGAACATGTCTTTGTTATTACAGTGACTTGTTTTTCCACCTTGTGTTCAAATAACCAGAGATCGGGCTGTCGGGGCCCCTGCCTTCGACTGCTGCCCAATCCACTATGCACCGGCCCCTTACGGATCCTCCTGCAGGTGGTGAGCCCACAGGATGCCTCTGGGCTGGCAGACCGGGGTGGTGGTCCCTCTTTTTAAGAAGGGGGACCGGAGGGTGTGTTCCAACTATAGGGGGATCACACTCCTCAGCCTCCCCGGGAAAGTCTATGCCAGGGTACTGGAGAGGAGAATTCGACCGATAGTCGAACCTCGGATTCAGGAGGAACAATGCGGTTTT